TGGGTGAAATGAGGACCCGGACTGTGGGGGCGATATGCTGACTCTGTAAACCGCTTAGAGGGGGCTGAAAGCCCTATGAGGCGGTATAGAAGTCTAACTGCTATTGCTATTGCTATTGAAGCGGCAATACTATACATTTGTTTCATATGCTCCCATTTTAGCTGCCCTGGATTATCAATCATATAGATTACTCTTTATTTCTAGGAAGGCTTATTTAAATAATGTTAACTTTCACATCCATCTGTTTTTGAAAGTACCTTTCTACTCATTCAGCAAAGCTGTGCATTCTTACATGGCTTTTATTTTTCCTAGACGTGTTTTTAAAGTGCATTTCTTTTTATGAAATCGGAAAAGTTCCACAAGATGTTTACACTGCTTTTCTTGATACTTCTCTTCTGTCCCTGCACAGCTTTGTTTTTGGCAGTGATGGCTACCTCTACCAAGGCCGGGGTTGGCACTGGGTAGGAGCTCACACCCGGGGCTACAACAGCAAAGGATACGGCATCAGTTTCATTGGGGACTACATGAAGACTCTCCCTGACTCCCATGAGCTGGAACTGATGAAGAACAACTTCATTCAGTGTGCAGTGAAGGGTGCCAGGCTGCAGGCGAACTACACCATCCATGGACACCGGCAGATGGTGCGCACCTCATGCCCAGGAGACAGACTTTTCCAGGAGATAGAAACATGGAAAGGCTTCAAAGCAGGGTGCTTTATAGGCAAAGGCTGCGATAAGCTTTTTATCTAATATGGAACTTGGAACTAAAGTACGAAAGATCTTTATCTCAGTATTCCTCTCAAACACCAGGGGGCGGCCTTTCACACTAGCAACGGTTCAATTAAAATACATTATCAAAAATTCATTCATTTGCATTCTTTTGAAGAAAGTTAGCATCCCCTCCCCTCCTAGAAGAATGAAATATTTTAGGAAGTATTAAAAAGGCAGAATATTATATTTCCCTGGATGAGAAAAGAAGAAACATGTTTTAAAGACAAAGCAGCTCCCTGCAGCTCCCTTCCACCCACTTCAGCTCCAGGGTAATGGGATTACGACATGGGCCTCAGGACATGATAGGATTAGCCCTCTATCCATCTAGCAACAGAACTCACCATGTGGCACCTGGGGAGATTGCTTCACTCAGCAAGATTCAACCAAGCCTGGGACTCAAAACAACCTACAAAGTTACCCCTGCATGGCCCCACTGGAGTCTGAGAACCAATCAGAATACATTTCTTACACAGGAACAGGAAGCTCCAAGGCGGGGCTCAAGAGTGGATATAAATTTCTCTCTCTCATGTGCTCTTTTTGCCCAGGAACTCAAACCATGTGGTCCTGTCCACCAATAAACTATCTTTCCAAGCAGTCTCCATGTTTCCAGTGTCTTTCTTCCCACTTGGAACTGAACCCAGATGGACATTTCTTCCAACAAGTTGGCACCCCAGATGGGACTCCAAGCTAACCTGACCAATGGACCTGGACCAGGTAAGCCTCCTTTGCTGGCAGCAGACCCATTGAGTCTGTCTGTGAGGTTTCCTGGACCTTGGCCATTTTAAAGGGTTTTTGAGTGTTGAGCTCAAAGGCTTCTTGGAAAGAAGGTGTGTACCTTTAAATTTTAATTTTATGGTCCAGAAAAGCATGGGAAATGTGTGTGTGCCTGTGTGTATGTGAGTGTAGTGATCCTTCTCCCAATCACAGCTGGATCTTGTTTTCTCTGTGTGTTCTACCAAGAGTGTGTCACAATTCCTCAATCTCCTTCTCTTACTTTTGCGCCAAGGTTCTTAGTATTATAATTACTTTAGTCATATAATCTAACCATATTGTAAAACTCATATACCCTAACTTAGATTTACATCAGACAGATTCCTTTCTGGCAGTGTGTATCTTTTGTTATTCCTGATTGGCCTATTAACAGCACAAAAGGTGTGAGGATTGCTCTGGTAGTAGATAGAGTATAGCTACGTGCCAATTCCTGAAGGAAACTGATGGCATTTGTAGAAGAAGGAAAAGGACCCATGAAGGATTCCGATCCCAATGCAGGAAGGATACAACTGACCACAGGCACATGCTTTCGCAGAGGCCCATGTGCCACAAATGCCCAACAACCAA